TTTTCGTGGGGTTTTGATCTTTGTTGGGAGCGAATTTTTGCCTCCCCCAGATTCCGTGAGGCAGACCATAGAGGTGTGGGAGTCAGGAAATTTCCCACCCACCTGGGGACCAATTCCATTTGTTTTAAAATTCGCCATGGTATGTAAAGGGGGGTAATGGTAAGTAAAACACCACGCTTGCCAGGCGGGTTCGTGAGTTTTGATTCAGCCGCCCAGTCTGGGACAGACGCTATTTTCAGCCGCTCACTCTGAGGCAGACGCTGTAGTGCTAGTTTTGGTCCGCCCCGGGTATTTGATTTCCCCGGTACCACTCATATCTGGGAGGCATTCCCTTATCCGCCACCTGGGAAGGCGCCCGATGGAGGACTAGCAAACCTCACACAAGTTTGTCTACCTTCTAGTAATAGTTCCTCCATTTTCTCTATGAACTTACTCATAAGATTTTCGAAACTGCCATCTCCTTTTGTCGATTGTTTTTCCTTTGGGTGTTCAATGGATTCGTATCCTCGGCTGTGAAGCACCAAATATAGCTTCCAGTTCCAATGCTCGGACAAGGGCTTCGCTACTTTTTCCGAACTTGGACATTCTCAGCTTTTACTTCTTGAACGTCGTTTTAAACTTCTCTCACATCGTCTTTAACTTCTTGAACATCGTCTTTAACTTCGGCTTTTACTTCCCTAATCTTTTGTTCTAGGTCAGCGACAGATCCTTGTATGGTTTGAAATATTTTCCGCAATATCTTCTTGCCTTTCTTGTTGTCGTTTGACCCCTTCTTCTTGTTTTTCTTTTTGTCGTTTAGCTTCTTCGTCTTGTTTTTCTTGTTGTCGTTTGGTCTCTTGAAGTTCCAACATTTTACGCAGAAGCTGTTCAATTTTTTGTTCTTCCATTTTTGCTTGTTGTCTCGTGATAGGCATATACAGAATGTTCTGGAATTTTTCCCAAAATCTCTTCAATTAACTTTCCTAATTTTTGATTGAAGTTCCAAACACTTCGGCGAAATCACAAATTGGATAACTTGCTTTATGCTGCATTTACATTCACTTCGAAGTCCAATTTGTCTTGAAATTGACGTGCTTGCCATATGGTGGCAGCACACATCCATTTACATTGAAATCAATTTGAAGTTAACTTCGAAGTGCACTTCAAATTTGGACGAGTTGCTTGCCGAGGGCAAGCAGAAATTTGTGAAATGTCGAATTTTGAGATCCATCTGATTCTCGTAAAATTATGATGTAAATAAATACCTTTTGTGTGCTCCAGAAATTTCTTGGACATGCCTAGAGTTTGTTTAGTAGTTAATTGTGGCAGTATAGCGCAAGGGATACAATATCCTTCCATAGGTTTCCATCAATTTTAATTAATTTGATTTGTTAGCTCAAGAAAGACGAGAAAAACTGATTAATGTTGTTAAAAGAGAGAGAACTAGATTGAATATAGAGTAACTATACTTATATATTTGTTCTTGAGACACTTGGTTTTGATATTTGTTGGAAAAAAACCTGAATTTAATCCATTATGGGAAAACCTAGCAAACTTTTGGATAAGCCACCACATAGACTGAAACACAAACACTCCGCTCTAACTTTTTTAAAACAAAATAACACTAAAACTTGTAAAAAAGCTATGAAAACCGCGAAAAACATAACCGGCCGTATCTACACCAATGTAAATAAATGATTTGTTTTAACTCAGGGCGACTGTCAAACTCATTTGTGACGTCACATGGAAATGCCCTATTATATCTTACTTCTGACACCAATGTTTTAGCTCTGGCGTGCGTGACAGAAATCTTGGGTCCGTTTGTTATCTGTGTTCAAAAATCAAAGTCCAAATGACACAACAATAATTTATTTCACGTTACTATACACAACGACACTAATTACTTCACTAATCAATTCAAACTCTTAACTCTTCACAACTCTTACAATATTCACTATCTAAATTGTATAACAGCCAATCTTAAACTAAAAACTACTAACTAATACCGGCCTTTATGCAGTGTGTCCACCTAAGTTCGCAGCACATGGGAAACTTTTTTATTATCAATTTTACGAAAAAAAGTTATTCCTTATAAAAGTTTCTGCTTCTTGAAAAAATAGTATTAAACTATTGAAACTTGAAATAGCATGTACGGTCAGAAAATAGAAAAATATAAGTACAGGGTTTTTTGATAAAAGTAGAAAAAAAATGGCAAGTCACTATTTATTAAAACCTTTGATATTTTTTTCAGATTAAGCAAGTCATATAACAGTCAAAAGATACCTTTTGTTATCACAAACAAACCTGCTAAATTTGAAGAAAAAAAAGGATTTTTGAGCTAAAAAAAACGATTTTTTTTTAAAACTTCGACACCCTGTATTTCAGAAACTACGCATTTCCAGACACATGTTTATGGGAACTTTTTTCTTAAAATATTAAAAAGAATCACTTTCTGAAGTTACGAACCGTACTCAGGAAACACCCTGTATATTTTTCTATTTTTTGACCTCCCTGTACAGGGTGTCCGAATTTGGATGGTTTTGATAGGAAACGTCAATTTCTGAGCGAGATACAAAAAAATGAACCCCCCACACCGAGGTTCAGATTTCTCGAAATTTTGATTAGTGCAAACCGCATTTTAATATCTTCAACCGTTTAGCCGCTAGAGGGCGATTCTCGATTTTGAGCAATACTGTGAAATCTTCATAACTTTTTGGTTTATAAAAATAACTGATTTCCGTAAAAACTTCCTAAAGGCACTTTTTCAAGCAGAATTCAGTGACGTTTTCAGTTTTTTTTTATTGGGCCTCCATTTCAAGATATTGACCAAAATCCGATTTTTTTCAATGGGACACCCTATATATTAATAGCTCTCTTAAAAGCTTTGCTTTTCCTGATTTCAATGATATAAATTTCGATAGGTTTATCTCTAACAGTTTTCGAAAAAAAGATTTTTTCGTTTTTTTCCATAAGAAACAATGTGTTGAAACAGGTCTTTATATTTGTAAGGAAAATGAGAAAGGTCTCTTTCTAACTCATTGTTTCTTATGACAAAAACCAAAATAATTTTTTTTCTTGAAAACTGTTAGAGATAAACCCATCGAAATTAGTATCATTGAAATCAGTAAAAGCAGAGCTTTCTAAAGAGCTATTAATATATAGGGTGTCCCATTGAAAAAAATCGGATTTTGGTCAATATTTTGAAATCGAGGCCCAATAGAAAAAAACTGAAAACGTCACTGAATTCTGCTTGAAAAAGTGCCTTTAGGAAGTTTTTATGGAAATCAGTTATTTTTATAAACAAAAAAGTTATGAAGATTTCACAGTATTGCTCAAAATCGAGAATCGCCCTCTAGCGGCTAAACGGTTGAAGATATTAAAATGCGGTTTGCACCAATCAAAATTTCAAGAAATTTGAGCCTCGGAGTGGGGGGGTTTATTTTGTTGTATCTTGCTCAGAAATTGACGTTTCCTCTTAAAACCATCCAAATTCGGACACCCTGTACATGCTATTTCAAGTTTTAGTAGTTTAATATTATTTTTTCAAGAAGCAGAAACTTTTATAAAGAATGTATTTTTCTTTTCGTAAAATTGATAATAAAAAAGTTTCCCATATACCTACTGCGAACTTAAGTGGACACACTGTATATCCGGAATCCATTCTTGTGAAATCCAGAATAAACGCGATAATCTCTTATCCTGAATAAGGCAGTATTTTCTAGATTTCAAGTTTGATTCTGTACTCCCTGGCGCCACATTTTCGCGACAGTATGTTGAAGAAATGATGCCCTAATGGTAATATTAACCTGATTAATGCCAGTTATTCTCAGTTTTACGTTTCTTATACTTGGAAAAAGCTTTGTTCTAAGTCTCCATCATGAATTTCAAATTATCCGTCAGCCACGAAGCAGGAGGTTTAGTAATTCTGACAGATTTATACGGAGCATGTTCGTCGGAAATGTTAGTGAGTTGATAATTGAAAAACTGAAAAATTCTGTTGACATCATTGGCAAGAGAATAGGTACCATCGTTACCAAAAGTATCTGGGACAAAAATAATGCACAATAATCTCCTGAACTAATTCTACTGTCATTCATTTCAATGCATTTGATTCATAGTTTGACAAATATTTCACAAGAAAATTCATATAATAGGACAAGAGCTAATATGATGCTGTCCCAGTTACTTTTGGTGACGATGGTACATATAGGTACTCCAATTTCACAGCATGTAAGTGTTAAGTCACGTAAGAATTTATCGTAATCAAAATTTCTAAAATCACAATAACTTTTAAATCGCGGAGGAGGTTTGCTTTGAAACATACTCGGTTTCTTGACACAGTTACTAACCATACTAATGACATCATTAAAAACTTATTCGACGATAACTTCACTCTTAACGCTGTCAGAACTACTCTCAGAAATTTAAAAGCTCCGCTTCTTTTTTAAAGAATGAAATCCCTTTCCCTCCTTTCTCATCCTTTCCAATTCTATCTCTAACTCGCCTCCCTTTCCTTGAACAACAAGTTAACTTTTAAACACAACATAAGTAGCAATTAGACTCATCCATTACAGCATAAGAGTGCTTCGGTAACGCTATAATAAACTCATAAGAAGAAGGCAAACCTCCTTTCGGTTTGCCTTTTATATACTTAATTTTGAAAGTCACTAATTTATGATCATGTCGGTAAACTCATACGTTTCACTATTCTCAGCTAACGACGAATCACTAAGACCAGTAAATCTAAAAGAGAGTGCTGGAGTGTGCGGTAACGCGAGTTGCATCGACGATTCATCACGTATTTATTGAAAAAAAATTTGAAGTTGGAAGGAACTAGGACTATTTGCGTCAGACGTGTCCACATTAAGGTCACCCCCAAAGACAATAAAATCAAATTCTAGAAAACGATATATTTTGTACATTTTACTTACATATTTCTGTGTGCTGATTCTGCCAATGGAATGTCTAAGCAGCAATGCCTTAGGTTTACACAAAAACAATTATTTTTTCTTTTGCTCTAGATTTGGCCCAGATTACTATGCCAGACTGGCAGGCAAACCTTCGGGAGGTGGTAAAGCATCGTCTGAGGTAAGTCTAGACAATCACATAAAACGCCTGGAAGAGTTTGCGACTTACTCTAGCTTACCTAGAAGTCTATATTCGCCGAAAAATTCTAGTAGAAATTTCGTACAAAATCCTTTGCTCCATTTTATGGATAGCAATGAAACTTAAGGAATTCTTGTCTAAGGCCCGTTTCACAAAGCACGATCAACAGACTTGATTTTTCTTTTTTATTATTCTGTACCTGTAGCATTGGTCAGCCGTTTTAAAGAACATCATGTGCACAAGCGTTTTTGATTGAGAAAGATAATAATATGACGGTTGAATGCATCTGATATTCAACTACAGTCGTCCATATCATACGACTGAAGAAACACTTACATAAAATGCAACTGATCATTGTTGTGAAACGGGTCTCAAAAGGTTGGAGAATAAAACTCATGTCATGACAGTACAATCATATTGACGAAAAAATGGTCAATATTATTGACAAATGTTCCAAATTATAACATTATTCTTCTTCTTAGAAAGTCTTTTTACCAATTCCCAATCATTATCTTAGCAAAAGAAACATTCAATTCAATTTTAATGCTTGGGAATCATTTTATTATATTAGTGCCGTTTGTGCCAGTTACCTGAATTATTAGCTAGTGATTTTAGTTACATAAGTTATTGGGTATTGTTGTTATGTAAAAATAAAACATTTTGTTCTACTTTGTGATTTGTTTTACTTTTTGTTTTTGCCATTTCAAAGCATGATTCAGTAATGGGAGATTTGTTTTGAACGTATGATTATCGAACGTGCACGCTCTCAGAGTAAAGTAAGTAGTATTGGAGGTGGAGGGAGGGAACATTGTGAATTTTAATAGTTAATTCTCATTTTTAAGTCAAATCGACATAAGCGCAACTAGACCCCAAATTTGAGGGGTGCTGCAGCACCAAAGGCACCATTTTTTATTTTTTTTTTGATGGGGTTTGATGGAAAGGAAACGAGACGCGTAAAAAAAAAAGTTAGTTTCACAAGGGTTTGTACTTACGTCATAATTTGCCTTTTTTTTGAAAAAGGTTTTATCTCCAAACCTCAGAAAAACGTCACTTTGTTAACCCCTGTCAAGATGTCAGAAATTTGATGGTTCTCCGAATCACAGTAAAAACGGCCTTTTAATGACACTTGACGGGATCAAAAGTTGTATTTTCACTGCCTAGGCAGTAAAAGTGGACTTTTACTGCCTAGGCATTAAAAGTGACAGTGTCACAACGTTCCAAGTAAGAATTTCACTCAATTTGCTATTTGAAATTGATGGTGACAATGACAATTGTCAAAATAATTTAATTATTTGGATAATAATAATGAATGAAATAAATATAAAAAAGATGTCTATGTGTGAATTTGAACATTCGGAGAAAAAATTATATGTTTTACATGGCAGAAAAGCAGATTTAATGCCTTGGCTGGTTTCCTAGCCTCGGCTATGCCGTAAAACAAATAATTATTCTATGCTGCTAGGCACATCCAGCGGCAGCAAAAGTACTTTTAGTGCCGCTGGAGCGGCAGTAGAAGTACTTTTAGTGCCGCTCGTACTTTTGCTGCCGCTCAACCATTCACTTGCCACCGAGCTTACCCCATTCGTTTGGAGAAAAAATAGCGTGTTGCATACGGAGTAGAAGCACTTTTTGGTGCTTCAGCAGTATTGCAAGCCTCACTACGTTCGGCTCGCAAACCTACCGCTTCAGCACAAAAAAGTAAAGCTTCTACTCCTAATACAACAATATACTATTTTTATGTCTGAAATTTGAAACAAACATATAGTTCGTTGCACGGCAAAGTTTTTACTTACGTCATCGATGACGTCATAACTTAGAGAAAAAGTTAAGTCATTGATTAATTCATAAAGCACCTTCGGAATTATTGTTTTGTAATACATTTTTCAACTTACAACAGAATAGAGTTTATTCAGTTATCCGAAAATATATAAATAAATTTCTCCTGGAGTGATTTTTGACTGGAAAATTTTGGAATTTTCCTCTAATCAGCTCCTCACTTTCCTCTTTCTCCTGTAAAAATTTCAAAATTTGCCCGTTGCCAGTTTTCCAGAAAAAAATTAAAATGTAAGAGGATGAATTTTCCTTAATTTTGCCTAAATAAGTCAATTTTCTTTGAATTTTTCCTGGAGTGATTTTTCACTGGAAAATTTCGAAATTTCCCTATAATGAGCTCCTCACTTTTCTCTTTTTCCTGGAAAATGTTCAAAATTTTCCCTTTGCAGGTTTTTAAAAAAAATAAATTAAATGTGAAAAGGGCGAATTTTCCTTAAATTTGCATAAATAACTCAATTTTCCAAAATTTTTTCTGGAGTCATTTTTCACTAGAAAAGTTTGAAATTTTTTTATATTGAGTTCCTCACTTTCCCCTTTCTTCTCGAAAAATTCCACAATTTTTGCATTGCCAGTTTTCCAGAAAAAAATTGAAATGTGAAAGGATGAATTTTGCTTAAAAAAGTCAATTTTCCAGTACTTTCCTCTCGACTTTCCTTGGAGTGATTTTTCACTAGAAAATTTTGAAATTTTCCTCATTTTCTTCTTTCTCCTGGAAAAATTTCACAAGTTTCGCTTTAATAGTTTTCCAGAAATAAATTGAAATGTGAGAGGATGAGTTTTTTTAAATTTTACTTGAAAAAGTCATTTTTTCGGAATTTTTCCTGAAGCGATTTTCCATTAGAAAATTTTGAAATTTTCTCCTAATGACCTCCTGACTTTCCTCTTTTTCCTCTTTTGCTAGTTTTCCAAAAAAGTCAATTTCCCAGAATTTTTCCTGGAGTGATTTTCCACTGGAAAATTTTGAAATTTTCCTATAATGAGCTCCTCACTTTTCTCTTTCTTCTGGAAAAAATTCACAATTTTCCCTTTGCCAGATTTCTAGAAAAAAATTAAAGTGTAAGGAAGTGATTTTTCACTAGAAAATTTTGAAATTTTCCTTTAATGAGCTCCTCATTTTCTTCTTTCTCCTGGAAAAATTTCACAAGTTTTCCTTTATTAGTTTTCCAGAAATAAATTGAAATGTGAGAGGATGAGTTTTTCTTAATTTTACTTGAAAAAGTCATTTTTTCAGAATTTTTCCTGGAGCGATTTTCCATTGGAAAATTTTGAAATTTTCTTATAATGACCTCCTGACTTTCTTCTTTTTCTTCTTTTACCAGTTTTCCAGAAAAAAAATGAAATCTGAGAGGATAAATTTTTCTTAATAAAGTAAATTTTCCAGAATTATCCCTGGAGTGATTTCTCACTGGAAAATTTGGAAATTTCCCTATAATGAGCTCCTCACTTTCCTCTTTTTCATGGATAATTTTCAAAGTTTTCTTTTTGAAATGTAAGAGGGTGAATTTTCCTTAATTTTACTTAAATAAGTCATTTTCCAGAATTTTTTATGAAGTGATTTTCATTGGAAAGTTTTAAAATTTTGCTCTAATAAGCTCTTTATATTCCTCTTTTTTCTGGAAATTTTTCACAATTTTCCTTTTGCCAGTTTCCGAGAAAAAAATTAAAATGTAAGAGGGTGAATTTTACCTAAAAAAGTCAATTTCCCAGAATTTTTCCTTGAGTGATTTTCCACTGGAAAATTTTGAAATTTTCCTATAATGAGCTCCTCACTTTTCTCTTTCTTCTGGAAAAATTTCACAATTTTTCCTTTGCCAGATTTCTAGACAAAAATTAAAATGGAAGAGGGTGAATTCTCCTTAATTTTGCTTAAAAAAGTTAGTTTTTCAAAATTTTTCCTGGAGTGATTTTTCGCTGGAAAATTTGGAAATTTTCCTATAATGAGCTCCCCACTTTCCTTTTTCTTTTGGAAAAATTTCACAATTTTCGCTTTGCTAGTTTTCGAGAAAAAAATGTGAAATGTGAAAGGATGAATTTTGCTTAAAAAAGTAAATTTTTCAGAACTTTCCTCTCAACTTTTCTTGGAGTGATTTTTCATTAGAAAATTTTGAAATTTTCCTATCATGAACTCCTCATTTTCTTCTTTCTCCTGGAAAAATTTCACAAGTTTTATTTTATCAGTTTTCCAGAAATAAATTAAAATGTGAGAGGATGAGTTTTCCTTAATTTTACTTGAAAAGGTCAATTTTCCAGAATTTTTCCTGGATTGATTTCTCCTTGGAAAATTTCGAAATTTCCCTATAATGAGATCCTCACTTTTCCTTCTGCCAGTTTCCCAGAAAAAAAAATAAAATGTAAGAGGGTAAATTTTGCCTAAAAAAAAAAAACAAAGAATCACCCTTTGCCGTTTTACATGATATTTAGGAACACTTTGTATAATACGCAGTTAATTAATTTATGTATTTGGGACTCCAATGATTTTTTTAAGGGCCGGTATTTCAATGTCACCTTAAGATAATAAACATAGACATTGACAACATTGTCTGACCTTGTTCGATGATGTCATCCTAAATATAACATAAAAACCCTATATTTTAGGGTAAGTCTTGATTTTAAGGTATTAATATTGTAATACAGGCCCGGTTGAAAAATTTTATTCCATAACAATAATAATTGCGAACGTGCTCTATGAATTAATCAACGACAATTACTTTTTTCTAAATTATGACGTCATCGGTAACGTAAGTAAGTACAATAGTGCAAAAAAAATACATAATTTGGTTGCACTTATTTTTTATATTAGTGTTAGGTAGTGCTATGGTGGGATGCCGAATGGGAGTGATAATTTTTGGTTTAGGGGTGCTTAGCACCCCCAAGCACCCCCCTAGTTGCGCCTATACAAATCGTGGGATCAATGAAGAAACTGATTTCAAATTTAAATAATACTCAACAACTAACATTACCTACTAAGCATGTGGGCATATATTTTTCGGTTTTTGGTAATAATTTGTATGCAAACCAAATTAAATTTCATATTGATTCATATTCCATCGACAAACCTAAATTTTATTACAGTAAACTGCATTAAAGTCGTATTCAAAAAATATTTGTATTTTACTTACTTTAATAATCTATATAAAACCTTTTAAATTGTTTGTCGCATAATAATTTTTGCAAAACGATATAATTTTTTATCTTTTATCGTGGAATACCTGTTGAACATATTTAGATAAAATGTTCATTTAATCGACGTGTCGTGTGCATGATAATCCTGTTGTTAAAAAAAAAATATATATTTTATCAGTTCACTTAGTCGTTTCTCTGTGTATGTGCATATTTCGTATATAAGTAATGTATGTACTCATTTTTTTTTTTTTTTTTCAAATACATAGTTGATTTTCCTTTTTCACACACTCATTTTGTAGCGCTTGTAATCAAATGTATCCATGAAATTTATATATCTTCTTATATCTATGAGTTAAAACCATCAACCATTAAATACTCTAATAACTCCAACCGTTTGCTGTGAAACTAAATTGTTAGCTCAAAAATGAGATAAGGCTCTAATACTTATAAAGATAAACATTCTTGATCTGGTTGTCTTTTTCTTCATCTACCTACTCACTAAACTGACAGAAAATCCCTCTGACCCCCGACGTTCCACTTGTTCTATACCTATGAAGAATCTAGTTTGATGCTTGATGGTTTAAACTTATTTTGGGACAAAAAGTTATCCTAAAAATCACGCAGTTGTTATCATCACTATCTATATTTGGATGATGTAATAATACAAACCAAAAATAAATATTTTACAATTCAGTGTTAGGTTTAATACTAATGTCTGTGTTTTTAGCTTCAAATCGCGACTAAAAAACTTTTTTTTTAGAATAGAATCCATCCTGTTTCAATAATACCTAACTTAATAATTAACATAATCGTTCATAAAATGCATTTGTAACTAATACCACGCTAACCCTTCCACAGATAAACGGTGTGAGCTGGCCTCCACCACACCAAACCGACTATACCAGATCGGAAACGCCTAGCCCACTTCCGGAGTTACCCAAATCAGCACCTCCATCCAAAGAACTTATTTTAGAACATCCAAAAACAACCCAGTTTTCACCATCCAGAGACTTAATTCTCGACATTCCACCGGAACCACCCAAAACAGCTCCACCACCGTTCATCATAGAAACTGATGGTATCCATCAAGCAGTAAAAGCTTTGGTAACCCCCGAAGAAGATCACATCATGCCTCATAAAGCACTGGAGCAAGTTCATAAAGTCGAAAGTTACTCGGTGCAATTGAGCACTGCCGAAGTAACTTCGGAATCCGATACGAGTTTTGTAAACTTTTACGACGTGGAACACGGACAAGTGATGAAAAAAACTAAAAACGAAGATGTCCATCAAATACCCATTAAACCACAACCTCCAGTAGCCAGACCGCGTGTTTTAGGTGGAGAAAGTAAAAAATACGAAAAAGCTTCTTCCAAAAATATGCAACGCAATAATTCTCCCATAGAACGACCAATTTTGAGAAGGCATTTAAGCGAATCTAGTCTCTTGGATGATTCTGTTGATGCTCACCCTAAAGCATTACATCAGAAAAAGGACAACACTTTGATTTCTAAAATTTACAAAGACCCTAAAATTAGATTGTTTGCTTTAAACAGCCGAGAAGGCGTGATTCATGGAGACAAGCAATACCTAAGTCAAAAAAGTCTTGATTCAAAAATATCCTTAGGTACCAGTGCTAGTGACGATGGATTAACATCGGAATACGAGTCTGGAAAAACTGGTAAAATGTCGTTTTTTAGCTCAGAAGAAGACTTACTCTCACTAAATTCTGAAGTTAGTTTTGTGGCTACCAAAAATGGTGATGTTAAATTGAACGAATCAGAACATAGAAACATTAGAACTCCTTCGCCGAGTCCTCTAATAACTCCTAACACGCCAAGCACCAGAAAGTTTATTTATAGTTCTCAGGAAGATCTATTGTCTATAGATGAAGTTGGTTCACTACCGCAAAGAAAAGATAATACGTTAATATCGAAAATTTATCAAGACCATAAAGTAAGGAATTTTGCTTTGAACACAAACAGGGAATTTCAGCCCGACTTACATTCCAAGCCTAGAAAAGTGTCTAGCTCGGATGAAGAACATTATCATTACAATGAAAAAGTTACCATACAAAAACGTAATTTTGCCCACAAATATAACTCCTACGACGATTTGTCTTCAGCTGATATGAGCTTCGAGGATAATTATCAAAATGGACACAACTTATCCATTGATCAAAAATCAGCTACATTGATGGTGAAAACATCTTCTGCAGTTTCCAGTGTGAATGATGGTTATAATTCCGAAGATTTGGAGATTGAGGAAATAGCCAGAAGACACGTGGTTCGAGAAGCTTTAGGGAAATTTTCAAAATCCGAAATGGTTATAAATTCCAACTTCCATCGAGGTACGTCGTTCGAAGAAGGCGACGTACGAGTGTCTGTGAGAGATTTGAGGAAGAAGTTTGAAACTAATGAAGTAAGTCAATTTAGTTTCACTATTTATTCACAGTGAAAATGTTTCGAAATAAAATTTCCAATTTTTTTAGGTCAGTAACAAGCCAGTGGTTTCCAGCCTTACTGCTAGAAGCATTTCCAAGAAAGTCAAAGATTCCTTGAAACAATAACTTTATGGGTTTATTGGAACAGTATTTCATAGTATTTATGTAAAATTTTAATTAGTACTAAGGATTCTCTCTGAAATTTCCAAATTTTATCACTCCCTAAATGTTTTATTCAAAAAACAACAGTTATTAAGAGTAATATGTTCGAGTGTTTTTTATGCAGCTGAATTTATAAATTTTCTTAATTTAATATATTTTTCTGCATAACTTTTACATAATGTATTGAGACTGAGTTATGTATTACAATATTTCTTCTACACTTCTACTTATATGTATATACCAACATTTTTACTATTATTTTTTTTTCTTTAATATTTTTTTTTAATATTAATATTTTGTTGTATTATCTTATGCAAATTTTAGCATCTTTGTTTTTTTGAAATTTATTTTAATTTTATTCGAATTGTTCAATAAACTTTATTCAATGTTACCAATTATCAGAATGATATTTTTATTGTTTGCTTTGTGCAATATATTTTTTGGAAATCTTTCATGTTGATTTATTTTGTGCTCCTTTAATGATTAGGGATCTGATCGCGAGTAGCAAAATCATTCAAAGAGTGAAAAATTGTATGCAATGTGTTGAATAGAGAATTACACTTCGAAAGCAAATGATTTGCTGTCTGCAAGTGAGTACTGAGAATTCAAAAAAGTTGATATATTTGTGATAGCTGGGAATTAATTCAAGTATTTATTTAGTAATGATGACCCTTAAACTGCTACATACTACTATGAAAATATTAATCATATTAGTTTATTTTTTATTTTATTATTAACACTTGCAGTCAAGTTGCAAAACTTAAGCAGGGCATACCAAATGTTTATTTGTATTTTTTTCATTTGTATATGAAACTTTGCAATAAATATTTTTTGATTTGATTTGATTTGAAACAGGTAAAGCTTGTTTTTTTTTAAAGATAGAAGTCAAAATGACATTATGTTGGCAATACAATGAAAAATTGTCAATGCTTTCAAATTTTTTATGTAGAAAAGGCTTGTGTTGCCAACAAAGTTACTAAATTTTTGACTTGGGGAATTATCTTTAAAAAAAAAACAGACTTTAGGTAACTCATATCAGGGCCTAATTTGAAAAGTCAATCAATTTTTCATAACTTCATAAGCTATGAAGTTATAAAAAATTGATACTTACCTAATAATTAATTAATGGGGCATCACATACAATGAAGTAGTAAAAAGGTTTGTAACGGGCTTTGCATAACTCAAATGATCGAGTCCAGAATCAGATAGCGCTACCTTGTAAGGGCAGAAAATCTATTGGATCTCTTGGATCTCTCACTCTAACCTTGAGTGAGATAGTGCTTTGTTGAGGTTTCTCTCTAGATGTGAGTTCCATGTTAACTTGGCGTCCATGATTAGACGTAGGTATTCCACGTCGTCAACTATTATAATCCTTCCGGTTCCTGCTCCTTCGTCTAGTCAAAGTTTTTTCCTTTTAGAGAAATCATGAATGTTTTCTCGCGTCCACTTTTTTGACATTGGTTCAAAACCGGTTTGAAACAGTCAATGGAAACACCATTGTTTCGAACCAATGTCAAAAAAGCGGACTCGAGAAAACGGTTCTTGTTTAACTTTTTTGAACAATTTGTTTAGACTATTATTGAAATTTTTATGGTAGTGTCTGTTCTAGGTCCTATTTTTTATAATAATCAAACAAAATTTATCCGCCAAAACCTACCTACTTTGGAATTTAGTGCAAATATTGTAGTTGGTATTGTCTGGCTAGCCAAACGGCGAACTCCAAAAGAATTTGCTGCTTTGCCAAACTTGACGGAAACAATAATAAACAAGTTGGTGACATATTTTTTTTCGCTATATGGGCAGGTATAATATTTTGAAATAGAAAAAAATCCGGCAACATTGCGAAACGATGGATGTGGAGAGGCGTGATTATTCAGAGGCATGATTCTATTGGTTAGAGTCTGAACGACAGCACGCAGTGGCGTGGTTATCGGCGAAACTAGAGTTTTTTTTTAAAATAATTTTATTGGTTTATTTCCTTAGTGTTTTCGGTGCCACTGAACTCAAAGACATGGCTGTCGTCAGGCGGTGTCAGTTGAGGTGTCAGTGAATATTTTAAGTCACGCCCCACTTTTCTTCCCCCTTTCGTCTCTACCAAGTTACCACTTGCCAGACTATAGTTGGTAGTTTTTTATTTTTTGACACTATTTTGCATTTGTCTAACTTAGTTGGTATCTGGCAACCCTACCCAGAGTCAGCACCTAGAAAATCTTAAATGCATTTTGGTACTCAATTTTAATACATTCAACAATTTTGGGAATATTGACAGTTGAAAATTGACTTTTTTGCAACAGTTGACAGGCTGTAAAACCTAAACGGTTAATTTTAGAGCAAAACTGATCCTACATTCTTATCTTATATTTTCATAAACTACCTATCATTTGACACCAACTTTGAATTTAATCCATGATTGAAAATTCCAATTAAATTTAATCTTCGTTTGAGAATCATATCGCTGTTCCAGAAGAATACTGACGTATGTGCGGAAACAATAATTATACAGAAGAGGCGAAAAACAAATTGCAATTCATTATTTTTACAATTTTCAAGGAGATAAACGAGATAAATACTTAATCATTCTGACTAAAAATAAAAACCTTAACAGTATTTTTTGGACCACTTTAAGTACGCGCTAATTGAATAAATAGGTAGTATATTTCCCAACAAGTGCGGAAAGTGCTACTTTTCCGCACGCGATTGCAGTTTGCCGAACGACACGTAGCGGAGTTCGGCAAGCAACCAAGTGCCGAAAAGAAACTTTCCGCACGAGTAGGGAACACTATTTTTTCTACGAGATAGAAGGAACGTACCTACGTAATGTAAATTTTAACACCAATATTTGACAACATTTCTTTTGCTACACCTGGTATAGGTATTAAAAACAAATCGAGTATTTTTTTCTTAATATAGGTTAGGTACTCTTAAGTACAGGGTTATTCGTTATAAATGTCACCCCCCTCTATCTTTTTTATTTGACATTTTAGAAAAAAGTGTCCCAAATAAAAGTTTTAGGGTTGAAATTAAATTTTTTGAAAACTCACTTTCGCATATACAGGGTGTTTCAGAAAAGCTGGTTGTCCTCCTACTTTCTTATTTTAAATGGAATACCCTGTATATTATTGAATATTCGAATTCTACATAGAATTCTAAGCAGATTTTATTTGATATACCCTATACCTAAGTTCAAGTGTTTTGGAAATATTGACAGTTGAAAATTGACTTTTTTGCAAACTTGACAGGCTGTAAAACCTAAGCGGTTAACGTTTGAGCAAAACCGATCTTACATTTTTTTCTTAGATTCTCATAAGCTATCATTTGACATCAACATTGAATTTAATCGGAGATTAAATTTGATTGGAATTTTTAATCATGGATTAAATGCAAAGTTGGTGTCAAATATTAGTGTCAACTGATAGCTTATGAAAATCTAAGATAAAAATGTGATATCGGTTTTGCTCTTAAATTAACCGTGTAGGTTTTACAGTCTGTCAAAGTTGCAAAAAAGTCAATTTTCAACTGTCAATATTTCCAAAACAGTTGAACTTAGGTATATAGTATATCACATGAAATCTGCTCAGAATTTTATGTAGAATCCGAATGTTCAATAATATATAGGGTATTCCATTTAACATAAGAAAGTTGGAGCATGACCAGCTTTTCTGAAACACCCTGTATATGCAAAAGTGAGTTTTTCAAAAAATTTAATTTCAACCATAAAACTTTTATTTGGGACACTTTTTTCTAAAATGTCAAATAAAAAAGATAGAGGGGGGTGACATTTATAACCAATAACCCTGTACAAATAAAACTTAATTTTTTAATAATAAAAAAAAATAATAATTCTGAAATAATGTGCCTTATTTTGAAGACAATAAAATCGAGAACTTTTAACAATAATTTGTACGTTTGATGTACCATGAAATTTTCGAAATTTTTAAGCATAAAGTAACCATTCTATAGTAACTTGACAAGGAAAGTTAAGTTTAAACCGAAATAATTTAATAAATAACATTATTGTTTCAATAATTCTCAATGCTGATATTTGTGTCAGCTTATAATGCTGATATTTGTGTCAGCTTATAATGCTGATATTTGTGTCAGCTTATAATGCTGATATTTGTGTCAGCTTATAATTTAAAAAGTGATATCTGTCACTTTTTCGCACTAGTGCGGAAAAGTGAAACTTTCTAAACTAAAAAGCGTGCGGAAAAGTGCACTTTTCCGCACGCTCGTAGAAAAAATAGTTTTTTAAATTTATGGTAATTTGGAGATTTTGTATAGTTACGTCGTTATATTTCTGGAATAAATGAGACACGTAAAATCTCAGTTCGGTCAACCTTTTTATTTCATAACATACCTACAAATTCTGCTTAAAAATTAGCGCTAAGCAAAGAAAAAAGAGGAAAATGAACAAAAAAACCTAGAAAAATAATACTTATATAGGTATTAAAATTTAGTGCCAAAACGTATGGAATTAAATGATGCATCACTTGAGCCCCCTTTCCATTCAAGATTTTCTAAGAGGTAGTTCTGGGGGCTGGGGGATTGAAAGGAGGGAGGTGAATTTTGCATAAAAACTTACCTCCCTTCAAATTATACCTATTTGACGTGTTTCAAGGATTTTTTCGAAAATTTTCCAACTGCGAGATAATAGGGGTGGTAAGTTTTAAAATGAACACCCTGTATAAGGTTTGACTTAGAATGGTTTTAAGCTCCTTATTTGAAATCATTATTGAATTATTAGGTCTGTTTCTACAGAAATATCACAAACCAGTCAGAACGAATTTCATTGGTTCGGTTGATAAAAGTCAGAAAACTAGTTTCAACCAATGAAATTCACTCTGACTGGTTTGTGATTTCTAATTTCTGCACAAAGGGTTAGTAGTTACGTCATCGATGGCATCATAACTTCAAAAAAAGGGGTTGTCGTAGATGATTAATTCATAGAGCACGTTCGGAACTATTTGTTTTGTCAGCTAAAAATTATCTGGCAACATCACACAAACTTTGTGTGACGTCATATCATATGGATAGCTATAGCTAAAGTTCGTTTCGGGAAGGTTTGTACTTACGTCATCGATGGCGTCATAAATTGGGAAAAATGTGTGTCGTATAGATAAATTCATAGAGCACCTTCGGAATCATTTTTTGTCAGCTAACAGTCGCTCAGCCTATTTGTAAGTATAAAATTCAAGAGATATATGGTGTAACTAGTTTAGAGCCTTTATATTTTTTTTATACAATATATTGGTCCGCTCACAAAAGACTAAAGAGAGATATCGGTAACTTAAATAGTTTCACGTAGTATTAGCGCCTACGTTATTTTGACATTAAACATTACACCCATGCGCGATTCGATTTTTAACACTACGTACTGAAACAACGTTACCGCATAACGTTATTTAACCCAGCATTTACGTTAAGTGATTATAGGTTACCTATTTGTTATCAT